GTTTTCCGTAACATCAACGTGTCATTTCCACGTCGCGGGTCACGTTAACACGCGAATGTTATTAATATCGTCTTGAAAAACAAAAAACACACAGCCCTCGTATCCCGCAGTACCGCAAATGTACAGTGTCAAGCTCGCACAGCCTCAGTTGGCGATACGATTTCGCGAGGGAATACCGGGGCAATTATTCAAGCGAGCGAATGTTTTTACAAGAGCGCCGAAACATTTTCAATTTTATACGTAATAATCTCGCGGGGGAAAACGATAAGCGATATACCTCCCAGGCACTAATGTAAATTTATTACGCTTCTGTGTACAGCAACAACGCTCGCGTTACACAATAGGTACACTTCGTGCTAATTTACACACGGTCCCCGAGACACGCCGCGTTCAGATATTCCGCAGCTTTTTCTCGGACAATTTTTCCTCGATGCAAATAAATACGTCGTTAATTTCTAAGTAACGCGTAGAATTTATCGTTAAAATACGTCGTTTAAAAAAAATATGAGACATATTGTAAAAAATGTAGACAAATTATTAACAGCGAATTATCTTGTAGATTTTTCGCGGCGCAACTGCGCCAAGATATTTCACGATGAAATTAATATCTTCTCGAAGAGAGACGTCAATCATCCGCCGAAAAGAATCTGCTTCGGCGACAGTTTTTTGTCGAAAAATGCGACTTAATCAGATCGGAACGAAAATGGCAACCGGCCCCTCGCGTCCGTTTCGTCCTTTTTCTCTGATTACATTCGCGCACGTATAACGAATACACACGTCGCACCTAGTTTTTCAAACTGGTCCGCATTCCCTTATCCCGGAATCCATGAATAATTCGCGTTTGTTCAATTTATGCGGTGGAAATGCCGCGCTCGCTTCGCGGAGTCTTACGCGCGGAAAATCGATCTGGTTCTTTTTTCGCGTCGATTCATTATTCTCTGTGATGTTTGACGTGTGTGATGACGCGCGCGAGAGACTAAACGAAGAGAATCACATTTTCGCGCACGTCAAAATGCATTCGTTAAAATCATAATTTCACCAGTATTCTTATATACCGTGCGTTATTATCAGAAATTCGTTTCGACACTCGGAGCTTGAAGCTGAACAAAGAGGGAAGAGATGAATTTTTTTTTTCTATTTTCCGTATTAACGTCTCTCTTCAACGCGCGCGCCAATTTGGCAGGACACATTAAGCCGGTCAACGACAAACGCGAGCGAGCAAGCGCGAGAGACGCGCCCCGTCGAACTTTATGAGCAGCATAAATACCGGAGGAATTTCCTTCCACGGGTCATCCATCATGTCACCGGATGTTTTGGACCGTCGAGGAGGTGAACGAGTTACCGGACGGATTTTTGGGCGATTCTATGGCCTGGAACTGCGCGACGTGCCTGATTTTATGCTGATGGCGGACATTAGCATCAGAACCATTAATTCAGACAATTTCCGGTGACAGGTAATGCTCGAAACGCTTAAACTCACGACGGTCAAACACATCCCGGACGTATCCTCGATAATAATGGTAGTTGTCGCACACACGGAATGAAATAAATTTCTGAGAATACGTTTTTGTTCTCTTTCGCAAACGCTCGAATTTCGTAAATAGAGCATCGGCATCGAAAGAGAGAGATAGAGAGAAACAGTTAAGACACGTTCTTCGAAATAATTGCCGTAACTCGTGTAAAATACACCAAAGATTTCGCTCCTCGAATTGAGTAAAAGCTTAGCAAGTGACACAAAAGCGAACGTTTATTTCACTTGGACAGCACTTTGGGTAACATTATCTCGTTAAGCGTTCCGCGGGATCCTCTCGCGCGGAAGAATCGCGCAGCTTCCATAACTCATCTTCGTTGGAATAAAGTGACGGGAGGTTGGAAGGGGTGCGATCTTCTCGCAAAAGAAGAGAACGTTATGGAAGAGAGGTACAATACGCGCAGTCACGATCGGCCTTTCGGTTGTCACGACTTGCATTCGCGTCTCTCGGACGTCTCTCTCGATATTTTCTCGCTCAAAGAAAATCGTAAACTGATATTTCGACGTGGAGAGAAGGAGGATCGAGTTTCGATTTTCTCACGCAAGAAATATATTTACACCTTTTACATAGAATTGAATATCGGACTATGCGTTTTGTGTTGCGCTCGCGTAGAACGAAAGGGAGCCAGTATCTTCCCGAGGACGACCAATCTCGTCGCCCCCGGTCATTACGCATCATTCTTCTTCGTCTTCGTGATCCCCTTCCCTCGGTATTTTTCTTTGCCAATTCGTTTCTTGATTAAATATCGATCAAAGTATTATCCGTGACAAATTGCAATCAATTTGTCTTCTTTTGTATCTTCTCCTTTTCGCGTTTATTCGCGAGCGCGCATAATTTGCCGAACTCTAACGAGAGAAACCCGGAAAATCATTTCTTTCACGCAATTTGTTTCTTCGTTTCTTCTAACGGAGTACTATTCCCGACAAAATGTTAACCGGTAATCCGATCGTAACGGGTGGAAAACTATCAAATTTTCCCTTCTTTAGAATCTCACCGATCTTTCGTTTAACGTGCAATTTCGGAATTTCGTACAAAATAAATGCGCGACTAATCTCTCGCAATTATTTTCTTCTTGAACTCAATTTGATTTTTTCCGACGTAATTCGAGTAAAACTCGACCGTAATCGACGCGTCGCCGCTGACCGCGGCGCGTGTAGATCGATATTTAATTAAAGGGGAATCGCTATATAGACCAAAAAAAAAAAAGAAAACAGATAAGTGGAAGGAAGAAAAATGTGGAAAAGATTGGAAAAACCTGGTGAACGTGAACTAAAAATGCATCCGGCCATGCTGCGAGAAAATGCGCGCTGAGCAATTCCGTATCCCCGGCTATTAAAGAAATCTATATGTATATATATATATATATATATATATATATATATATATACATATATTTGTTCGTTTTTTTCAATAAAATCTACGTTAGACACAAATACGCTTTTGAAATAACGCACGTTGAATTGTATTTGATTGTGCGATCAATCTTCAGTTCACAATTTTCACAATTGAGCAGCGACATCAAAATGAAACTCTCTCCTCCAACTAAGAAGATGCAGTTTTATTACGAGTTACACAAGAAAGAACGGAACTTCACTTTCTTTATTTATATCTTGAAAAAAAATCTCAATCTTAGCTATAAAACGATTGAGCGATTTTGCGAGACGAATGTATTGTCGCGAATCGCGTTAAATTAAAAATTTGAACAATTTGTTATCACGCACGCGTAAAGCGTTGTTATTATAAAAGCTTTAAGACAGCAGATATATTTTCATCGCGAATGTTTTGTTCTTCGGCATCCAGAAAAAAAAGCAACGCAGAGCGAAGCTACGCTGTGAAAAAAAAAAACCGACATCCATCTACCAGTTGCATACGCTTACTGCCTGTCGCTCAATAACAATAAAGCCTGTGTAGGATCAGAAAGAAGTCTGTCCGAAACGGGAGAGGAAATTCGGGAAAAGCGGGAAAGTGGGTCGCGAAAATTGGACGGGCGTGTCGAAAAATTGCGTTCGTGGGGAAAAATGCATAGCGAACAGCGCGACGTTCGCTTTCCGGGGAATGACTCTCCGGGTTGGCGCCAAGTGCCCTTTAATCTAACGGGTGTCTGCGAACGAAGCGGTCGGATCGACCGACAAATATCGAACAGCGACGACGAATCGCCCGCGAAAACGATCCACGAACCACCGTCTACGTGAATCGCAGCTGAGTCGTCCGCAAATTCGCATGTGCACGCTCCGATCGTTCCCGCAATCCCCCTTTACGCTCTCGTTACCGCGAAATCGCGTTTCCCAGGGTCTGCATCGAGCAGAGGCAGCGCGCGGCCCTCGCGCGGCGCGGACGCGAGCATTTTCGAAAGATTCTATTTGCGCGTGTTCCTCGGAGCGAGGAATTTACGTAGGTAACTTATAAAGTGTTCGTACTTTTCAATGTAAACGCCTTAGGAATTTCGAGCTTTTTCCCTTTGCATTACATCCTCTTTCCACGCCGCCGAAATTTACAAGTTTCTGCGCACGATTTTTTTTTTTTTTTTTTTTTAATCTTTTGCCTCACAATCGCTCCTTGTTTTTCTTTTCTCGCGTTTCCTCTTCATTGTTTTTAATAAGCTTTAATGTTTAGTTTCGAGAAACTCGTTATTAGCGTATTATCTTTTTTTTTTTTTTTTAATTGAGAAAACTTTGATGATATAACAAATATCTCACACAACGCGAAATGAAAGTTCGGACACGCCGGGAGAGAGAGAGAGAGAGAGAGAGAGAGAGAGAGAGAGAGAGAGAGAAAGAGAGTGAGACACTTTTTTTCTGCGGAAAAGCACTCGTACATCTTCGTTATTAAATCTATGCCGCGGTTAGTCGACGTTGCGGCATCAGAGAGATTTCTCGCCTTTGAAGGAAACACAACCGATGTTCGTCCCATCCCTTTCTCCTCTCTCGCATGATAGATCGTCGCAGACGCGCCATTTCCCGCGAGCTATGACACCAATATTCCCAGGGTCCGCGTTTACGCACGGCGAGCGTTTCTAATCGCGATATTTATTGGCCGCCTGCTCTATTACGGAAAGCGACAATTTGTCACGTTCTATTAATTACATTAGGGCTCCCTTGTACAGATAAGGTTGCTCTCGAGCAACCTGTTTGAATCGAAACCGTCTCTCTTCCTCTCTATCTCCGATAAATTTTCAGATTAATTGCCGTTAGGCGAGTTGGTGCTTGTTAGCAATTAATAACGTCGTGCACGCAGACGCGCGATCTTTGTCAATCGCGCGCGCGCGAACGCTGTGTACGTTATCACACAATAATTCTGTACTGTTCGAGTGAAGATCGGTCTGCAGTTGTAACCGTATAATTTTCAGATACAAAAAAATTAATACGTTTAAAGTTTCAAATTTTTTTTTTGTATCTGTTGACACTCGCAAATTACGATAGAAATCGGATTTCCAACGCAAAAGCGTGAGAAAAATAAGAAGAGACTTACTACTTTGTCGCCCAGATTTCGCACGCGGCATGGCAGATACACGGTTTGCCCTACGAACGCGCTGACGTTTGCTGCTGTCGGCTCGAAAACGGGCAAATCCTCCGTCGAATTATTATTGGCATCGTTTGCACGCCGCTGGGATCCGTCCTTGGATGTTTCGCGCACGTACGCTGCTGGTGCTGGAAAATAAAAAAAAAAAACATAACGATTTGACAAACTGAGATCTTTGACACACTAGAGTGTTCTTTTTCCTGACGCGCGCGATCTCCCACCCCCCCCAAAAAAAAAAAAAATTACACAAATGCAACGCGCAACGTTACATTTATATATACCGCGCGCTTATATAGGATTTTGCGCGAGAAACCATTCTTCATCGTTCTCATATATAACACAGTGGCGGCTTAATCACGCGTGTAACGTTCTGTTACGCGTCGCGAAGAAACGCGCCCCGCTACGTGTTCCTCTTGAAACTTGTACGAAATTCTGGAAACCTGGGAAAAGCGAACGAGCGAGCGAGCGAGCGCGCGCTCGCGCCGAGACGACGCCTCCCGCGAGAGTACAACTCCGAATCTGCTGCAAGCGACTGGCGGGATGTACTACTTGCGAGGTACAAGAATCCAGAGTGCATTATAACTGCGGCAAGTAGCGAACTGCCGGGCGGCACACAGCGGCGCACAAACTCCGACTCATTTCTTAAGCGTAATACGCTCTTCGACGTTTCGGTGGAATATCTCACGGAAACACCGCTATGCACTTTGCTTCATTGTACGCGCCTCGTTTTGTATCTGCCATAGAATTTCTCCTACGCCCCGTCTTTTCCTCATCCCCGCTCCTCTTCTCTCTCTTTCTCTCTCTCCCATCTCGTCGTCTCTACGCGCGATGAAGAATAATCTGGTGCGCTTTATAGCGGCGACGCGCGTCTTCGTAATGGTGAAAGACATTATACTACACGAGCGCGACAGATGACGCGTGTATATTTCGTCGAGAGAGGCACACACGTTCGCGCTAACAATTTTACTCGCACAAAAGATACCGCCGGATATATTGTAAACATGTAAACAAAAAAGGAACAGGTTGTTTCGTGTTTGATCAATAACACGTTTTCATATCGGGTGTCTTCTTGTGTGCACAATATCCGATTCATTTCAACAATAAAACAGATTGAGTGTGTCTGCAAAAATTTGTTTCAATAAGCAGATCGAGAGGTTTTTTTTATTCTCTTTTATTATCAGACACTCGTAATTGGCGTGTGTAAAATTTTTCCTCGCGCGCGCTATACGCGTAACTTTTTTAATCGCCGAAAAGGTATTGAATTAAAGAAACTGTTATTTAAAAAAAAAAAAAGGGGGGGGGGGAAACTACATAAAATTTATACACACTGATTGCGCGAAATAAAAATTCTCGGATTCGGTTGCGAGCGCAATTTGCGGAGCGATGGCGCGCAAATCATAAAGTAAGAGCAAATTCTTCGTGTGTAAAGCTCGATTCGCGCGCGCGCACATTTGCCTCGTACGTATGCAAGTGGCGGTGAGATAAATTCGATTCGCATACATTCCTCTTTCCCTCTCTCTCTTTCTCTCTCTCGCTCGCTCGCTCGCTCGCTCGTAGCCCATCAAATTTATTTTAAATATGCGCATCACGTAGCGCGGTGACACGTGTTGGGAGGAGGAGTTTCGCGCCAAACTTCCACAAACGATTACGATCTTGGGAAATTATAAAGTGCATTATTTGAACTCGCGAGAGATAACATCGTTTCGTGCGACGAACAATACAAATGTAATTGCGCTTTATGTTGAATATGTTCAAAAACAATATATCGGAAAATTTTTTTTCTATTTTTCTATTTTGCTGTTTTTCATCTCCCATTTCCAGCCAAACTCGGTGTTCATCAATACCTAATCCCCCTCCCCTCTCTGCTTATTGCGGTTTTCCGGGTTTTTTTTCGATCTTTTCGTTCGCTATCTGAACACGTGTTGCATAAACCCTTCAAACTTCCCGAATGAACGTCATTCAAATGGCGCCGCCGGTCTATACGGATCGTTCTCTCGTTAGTATACCTTTGGAACGGTTAGTATACTCTCCATCATCATCAATCATCATCAGACCGAACGACGATACTCATTGGCGGTTGACAGGGATTGATCCAAAAGGAAAGTTCGTAATAGAAGCTGGCTGACTGCGATCGCGCTAATACGGAAGGAACCTCCCCCGAGTGATGTTGTAGGTATAAATGCGGGGACGTTTAATTTTTTTCTTATCTAATACTTTGCAACTTTAGCGCTTTTTTTTTTATTCTCGCTCAGCGATTAAATCCGCAATCTCGCGATTGTTGTGTTGTCGCCGTTCCGCTCCGGTAATTGTCGCGAATTACAACACATTGAAAAATTGCTCTTTATTAAATACAACGTTGTGTCAAACGAGTTAAAGAAACAATTTTTGTAAAAAAAAAAAAAAAAAAAAAAAACATACAAAGCAATAAAATAACACGAATTCTTCAAGTGAATTAACGCACGCAGGCACATGAAAATTTATTTCAATCTACTGCTATATCGTGCCACCGTTGTCCATTTCGTTCCGCAGAGCAATATTCCAATTGCGAATGAAAAAATACGCGTTCTCTCGGCGTGACCCAAAAAAAAAAAAAAGACAAACAGCTGCCAATCATAGCATATCGTCCCTCTTTTTGACCCTCGAACGCGTGCAATCTGATAAATTTAATTGGATAACCTGCGTGCAATGCGAGGGTAAATCTAAGCGCGGGGGATGGATTGCGCGGGAGGGAGGAGAGAAGGGCGGGCTTGAAACGCGCGCGCGAACGCGGCTATCGAATTATCAAACGAATCTGCCCAGAACAACCCTGCTGACATCGTAACTCGTTCCCGGGTTGACCGTTTCGCATAAACAACGTTCTCCCTCAAAAGCCCGCGATATCCTCTTTCAATCTCATTCACCGCCGACATATATCTCGTTCACCGTTTTCACACGCGCAATCTTCGCCTATCATCGCCCGCCAGGTATCGATTGTTTCCTGGGTTTATTAAAACGTACAAAACTATTTCCTATTGTCGCGCACATTGCGAGTGTATCAAAAAACATTTGGGACAAACATAACGTCGGCGAAACAAAACGGAATTCGCAATTCAAGGAATTCCAAAAGAAAAAACCAAAATTTCGTTTTTGTTACACAACATCGCAAGCGTCAGCGGGATTGTTGGTCGGCACAAAAATGTGCGAGCGAATCGATATACATATATGTATAGTCGAAGCACATCAATATACGATTTACGATTCGGAAGTTAATATTGACATAGTTTATATGAACATCTTCGCTTGGTTTGCTCGAGACTCGGAAGTAAATATTAGTTTGGTTCCATCGCTACCTCCCACCATTCCTCTCCCAGCGCGATAACGCCCGTATATACACACCCACACCACCGCGGCGTTATACAAATGACCAACACCCCCATCCCTTCGCCCTGTAAGGGGAGCAAAGCCCTGCCAGCGCTTCCTGATAACTTCAGATTAATTGACAAAAAGCCATCGTCGCAAATAAGGATGATGTACATCGTCCCTGAAAATCGTCCTGCATCGCCATTATCGCTGTCTCCGCCACTTCCAGTGCTTCCACGGCACGCAAATCGTGGAACAAGAACGGGAAGAGGAAGAGCATTGAATTAGTTTTACTAATTGCTTCGAGTGAGCGAGTATTTTCGTGTGAGATATTGACGAAATATATATATTCGATGTGATAAAAAATACACACGCGCGTGCGTGTGATATGAAAACTTCTATCTATAGTAAATAAATTCTAAATCCGTAAATATTTTTAAAAGCAAACGTTACATACGTGTAGAACGTAAACTTGATGCAACAATTTTACAAAAACATACACATGTAATACCACGCGCGTTTTCCCGTTTATAATTTTTAGCGCGGAAAGACACCACTTTCACGTCTGACTCAAGGCCGTTCGTTACTACTTGTCGCCAGTTCTGTTGCAGGCGCCACCTCTACAGGCAACCCCGCAACTTCTATGCGAATAATCATCGTGCGTTCGTCACGGTTTTATCTCCGGGGGCTTTTTTCTATCCGCGTCCACAGATTTCGTTCGTAATATTACTGCATATCTACCGCGCGCGCGCGCGTAAATGTGCCGTAAACTAAGATTGTTGCTTTCCTTCTATTACCGTGGCCGTTTTTGCGGCTAGGATCGTTTTTCTTCCTAAACCTTGTCGCGCAGGATTCTGGAAATGAAAGAGATCGGAGAGAAGAACGAAAAAGTATTGTGTATGTGTGTGTGTGTGTATTCGCGCACATAAAACCAGAGAGTCTGGTCCCACGCCAGACGAATTATGTCACACACAATGGCTGTAAATTCGAACGCGACGCGTCGTCATAATTAAACGCTTTTAAACGAGCTTTTTACGCGCGCCGCTGTGTATATGAACCTCATTTCGGAACCCCGGTTCGTATCGTAATTTAATGACCGGCACTTCAATGCGCAAACACGAGCGGATGAAAATTAGTGCATTCGCGGGAACGCGTAGCGTCATTTTTACATTACTTAATAGACAAAAGTATGTAATATACCGGTGTACATTGACGCTCCCTTTTATGGTTAATATACCGGAGCGGATAGTTAATTCTTTTGCAGCTACCGACCGTTGTGCGTTGACGTATATAAAGCTCGTTCTTCTCTCGGCGCGCGATGTATAATAACACATCCGTGCAAGCACTCGATGTAAAGCGAGTCGGGATTTTTAAATAATTAGTCGAAAGTTGTGCGCGCGATCATTGTACGCGTCAGCGTATTTCAGTTTTATTTCTATAATTATCGGTCGACCTTACACACCGCGCTGTTGATATTTTTGACATTGACACATTTTTGGATTTTGTTTTTTTTTTTTTATTTTTGATATTTCGAGTCTTTATTGGTTTTTTTTTGTTATACCGACTAAAGAAGATTTAAAAAATCCAAAACGTTTCAAAATCTGTTGTTTAATTATTTTTTAATCCGCTCTCGCACATCGTGTTTGTATTCGTGTTTGTATTCGTTTTTGGTCTGCTTTATCTTTGGATTAGCCGCAACAAAAAATCCGAGAAGAAGTTCTCTTTGAGAAATTTTTATTATTATCAAAATATTTCACAACTCGCTTAATTAATCAACCTTTCTGTCTCA